TGAAATGTCTTAAAAATAAATGCTTATTTCAGGCAACTTCTTTATTATTTTCCTATTTTCAAATTTCAGGACTTATTTTTCCTTATTAAAATTTAAAATGTGCCACAGAATTTTAGTTATTCTGCAAATACGCCTTGAAGTGAAAAAAGTTGAGAAACACAGCTGTAAAAAATAAAATGGCGGTGAGATCGTGTATCGTTAATACGTCAGTTCAGAGTGTCTGTCTGGTTTGGGATCAAGGTTTAAGATATTTCCTGGTACATTTGACAGGATAGATTCGAAATAATGTTAAACCCAAGCCCCAGGAGGTATTTCCCCCAAGGCAATGCCTCTCCTTCGGGCAGGGGCTGGGGTCATTACTCAGTACCTGGGGCGTTCCTAAAAAGGTAAGTGCCGACAGCAATTTTTTTCACATAGTATTCCTGTTAAAAACCCTCTTTAAACTGACCTTGTGTCACATTCGGTAGCGACGTGAGCGTACTGGAAAAATCACCTTGAACTTTTGTTAAGGTTCTATTACCACATTTGAGGTCTTATCCATTATTCTTAGTAAATTACAGCGGAAGCCTTATCGTTGTCAGATTTCATTATAGTAACCATTATACATTCTCACAAAGTCATCATGTTTCGTCCAATCATCGTTCTCTTCCGTATACATCTCAGCGATACAATAAGCACAGATGTAGCATTCAGAATAGCGCCGACAACGACGACGACGGCGGCGACCTGAGCGCCAGCAAACTAAAGTATCAATTACAGTTAGCTAATATCCGACACGGTTTTATTATCCGTGTTTCTATAGTTACGCAGACCTTTTCCATTTTTATTCCGTAATCCGTTATCCAAACTAAGATTCCTTTCCCATGCAAGCCAACGCGATGTAGCGTTCATGCGATTAAATCTGAATTCACAATGAAAAACAGATCACGGATACATGTCATTTATTCATTCATGCTAACGGATACATATATATATATATATATATATATATATTATAAATTAACTGATTTAAAATATGGTTTCTTCACTGTACAGGAATTACCATGTTTTAAAAACCGAAGCTAAAACCTTCAAATTTAATTATATAATTACATTAAAAGCATTAGTTCTGTTTCATCTTCAAGCGAATTTGGGAATCAGTTAATTTATAATATTTATGCTCTGTAAATTTATATTGAGCACTGTTTTGTAAAAATAAAAATATAAATAAGAACACCGGATTATATATCTTACTGTTCTTTCTTTTTATTATAATATATATATATATATATATATATATATATATATATATATATATATATATATATATATATATATGTTTCGTTTGTTTTGTTTTTTTTACGGCATTAAAACCTCAATGGGTTAATTAATGCGGACAAAATTTTTTGTTGCTGGTAATATTTTTTCCTTCAAAAATGTATTGCTGGTAATACATTTCCTTTTTTATAAAAAATGTATTCCTGGTACTAATGTATTACCGGTAATAATTTTTCCTTCAAAAATGTATTGCTGGTAATATCTTTCCTTTTTTTTTAAAGAAATGTATTCCTGATACTAATGTATTGCTGGTAATAATTTTTTACAAAGTATTTCTAGTATTAAAACTTATTTTTGAACTTTCATAGTGTTTTGACCCTAGCTTTTTGGAGGTTTAACAATTGCTGGGACCCTTACAGGTGCTACAACCTCGGTTCAGGGTGGACCTGGGAACACCAGCAATTAAGAGGTGGTTCCACGCTTCTCAAAACCTCCTGATCAGAGACCTTGCTGTTGGACGTAATATATATATATATATATATATATATATATATATATATATATATATATATATATATATATATTAAAATCACAGGTTTTACAAATTGTCACATTGACAGTCGATGATATAAACAAAAACAAAAAAAAAGGTCATTGGCTGTCAAACTTTTTATATATTGTTGATGAAAAGCACTATAAATTTTACAGGCAACAAAATAATTATTTGCAAACTGTATTAAATATACACAATGTATCTTTTTAATTTAGGAAAAGAATAGTAAATAATATACATCTCCATATAATAATATTATCCCTAAATCATTGTGACAAAGCAAAAATTGTACATCATAGTAAGAAATTTATAGCTACAATACCGTTAAAATACTTTGAGAATAAACCAATTTCCACTCCAGTTTGAAACTTAATAATAAGAATATTGGATCTGTATTTCTGGCCATTTTGATAGTTTATGTCTGACTACTTAAGAAAGATAATTTCAAGATTAACGAAATGTATTTAAAGAATAGTTTTCCTTACTCATTTACTTACATAAAATTATAATATAAATTCTACAAATTCGAAATGACTGAATATGGAGCTTAACGACCGCTTTATTTTTCTGTCGCCATTTTTATCAAGCCATAAGGTTCCCCTCTTTTCTTATGGAATATATAACTGATGAATGCCGAAGAAAAAATCAGCCGAAACGTCAAGAATATGCAAAAGCTCTTCGAATGAAATTTTGAATTTTTTCAGTGTTTACATATTCACGAATTTTCTCATAATAAAAAACACCATTTTCCTCAATTTTTAAGATCTTCAAAAATATTATTGCTAATATTTTTCGAACTAATGTATTCATCATCATTCGTTTAGCACAAAGATTCAGCTGATACATTTTTAGCTTTACATGCATGTGTCTTTTGTCGATCTTTATAAATAATTAAATGTGCTAGACAATGTATCTCGCCAGAATCTGTCTTACACATTTTATAAGTCTACCATTCGTTTATGTATTGAATATTTCTTTCACATCTGATCTTGTGCTTCTAATTTCTTTTTTATCTAGAGATTATTGATAACAACCAAAAAAGAATCAGCAACATTATCGATGTTAACCTGGCATCACGGCTTTAGTCACTTTCTCACCGCCGTAACGTAGCTACCCTCTGTCTTTTCTATAAATATTTTCATGGTAATTGTTCTGGTAGACTTCCCTCTTTGGTATCTCTAATTTACTAATTTAAGCTCAGTACTAGATTGGCAGACGGGTTTTTATCATTTTACAGTTGAACCTTGGACCTTGATGTAACCGTAAGTTCTATGCTAACAGATTCTTCTCTCGAACTCTTGTAGAACTCTTCTTGCTTACCAGTCTAATTTGATCTTTAAAAATGTAAATACAATGTCAATCGTTATCTTGTATCATTTTAATTCTTATTCTTTCTTTGTTCTCTTTCTTTATTAATGTTTTTTCTTCTTTTTCTCGTATTATTTTACACTCAGTAACCCCTTACATTTTAATGCTGCTTTCCTAGAAGTGAAATGATTAGAAAAAAAAAACTGTCCACTTTTCTAATTCTCTTCTTTCAAGATAAGGCCAATTCCTTGATAAGGTTAGCGGTTTGAATGCTTCCCAATAAACACGAAAGTTTGTACTTATTTATCTAATGGTAAATGTAATATTCCGAATTTCCTTCTTGCTGACTACCCTCCCCTCTTTAAAAGGAAATTACAACAGAGGTCAAGAGGTAACATTAGCGCCATCATTTCCGGACTCAGCAAAATTGCCGCTTTATAAAATAAGCTCTTCCATAAGAATGGCGACGGAGATAAGATGTGTTCTTTTTATGTCATTATTTGTATAATATAAGCCCTAAGTGCCACTCTAGGTAGAGGTTTACTGAATAGGGATGATGTAAATGTGTATAGGGTGGGATCAAGAGTTGCATATTATGAGGATATGGAGGTTAATCGACGACTTGAAGAGGTTAAGATTGTGGTGGAGAAGCATCCGATCGGGAGTCTGTTCCACATTGCAAAACTTCTGGAAAAGAAGCTGTCTGAGTGGAACTTTTTGCCAATGAAATATGAAAGGGAGGGAGTTTGACTGGCGTGTTCTAGCTGTGAAGGTCTGAACTGGTGGAACCAAAGAATGTAGTTCGAACAGCTGCCAGAAAAATAAAAGTAGAGCAGCGAGAAGCTAACAACATTCCGTCTGTGGGGAATGGGTTGAAAGGTATAAAATAATAATCACCCACAAGGCCGCACAGTCGCTTTTGAACTCGGTCGAAGCTTATAAGTTAGGATTATTCAGCTCCAGCCTAGATGTGGCAGTAATATTTTATAATTGGTCTGATCTGGCTATGGCAGGTGGAATCGGGTACTTTCTGGAGTAGTTCAGGGAGCCTACCATTCTTCTTGCTTCTTCAGCGATGGATCGTATATGCGAGATCGCGTGTGAGCTTGAATCACAATAGACAGTCCAGCCAAGGAGCCTCATTGCGGGTACAAACGTTCATCATCACCGGAGAAAATTCAGGGTCTGTTTAGTAATGATTAAACGTTACTAGCTTGGTTTTGGGGGCACTGAATATTACAAGCCAGTCTCCCCTCACCCATTGACTTGTGCGGGCAAGGCCAGAAAAATGTCAGGTTTCGGTCATCTCGATTTTTGCCAGAAATACCTTTAGGTCAGGTAACGTAATCAGCTTAGATATGTGCCCTAGTATGTAAATCTGTCTCCCAACTCGCCTTGGCTGCCTCCATATTCAAACTTAAAATAAATCCTCTGTGCATTCGGCTATGATAATCCCCAAATGCTCCCACCCATGAACAGAGACGCAAAGTGCGTCAATCCCTAGGCCGGGTCGGGGAGTGTAATCCCAACTAGTTACGATCAGGCTACAGGAAATCATCTCTTTGGTATCGATAATGATATTTACTTAATTACTATTAATTTATCTTAATTCATGTACATGTTAAGATATCCAATCAATTAAGCCATAAGAGCCATGTCTGGTACAGCACTAAGACAATTATTATTATCATTATTATTATTATTCGTGACATTTACATATTCAAATCAGTCTAATTGTTATCATTAAAATCGTCAGGGCCTTTCTCAGTAACCATGGAAACTTTAGCATTGCTGTAATTTTGACAGGCTCATTCTCGAATTCCCAATTCACTTTTCCAAGTGTTCCAGATATTATAGGTACAACTTTCAGTTTTATCCAGTCATGATTCCAGTGTTCACAGTTTCGAAGGCACCAATTGTTACAAGTACGACACTCACCGTCATGGTACTTCGTTTACCCAGTTTCCAAGAGAAGAACTTGTATTCAAATTCTTTCTTCAAACCGTGTTCTGCTGAAACGGTCACATCTACTATCAGACAGCTCTTCTTTTCCCGCCTCCTTGCTTCGATCGGTGGTGATGGCGCGATTGAAGCGGACGTTATATTCCCCCAGGATCTTTTTGACTTTTTAAGACAGCTTCTGATTTATGCTGGTATCAGTTGTCCACATAGTCGAACCGTAATATTATGCCCCACTTTTCATATTCTATCATCTAAAATTGAGTATTCTATGCAATATCATAAGAATTATTTTTAATATCATAATTATGACAGCCACAAATGCCCATCTAAGCCATAACTATTGCGTTCTGAAGTTAATCTTATTTATAATGGCTTAAAGCGAAATAGTTACATGTCCACACAACAATAACGCACAAAGATAATCATTAAACCTTACGATATTCACTGGCAGCTTATTTATTGGCCGGACCAGAGCAGCGGGTGGAGGAACTGAGGAGCGTGTAGAATGAGGTAGACGCCGGCTTGTCCGTTGCTTAAGTCCTAAATAAATAATTCAGTCGTTAATTTCGAAGTTCTTATCTAATCGCCCGAGGACTACAACGTATTGTTGAAAGTAAGCAACATAGTTTGTTGTTACCATTGCCACGAAGACAAGAGTTAAGTCGATACAGTCTGGCCGAAAAGTAAGCTGTCATTTCAGCTCACCGCCATTTTTTTTTTTTTTTTTCAGTTTTGCTAATTTTTTTTTTCTTTATTTCGGTGATAGGGTAAGGGATATCCTCATCAGTATTTTGTTTTCTCTCTTCATAATGTTTTGACTGGTCCCTTCTGTGCATGGTGACGAGAGAAATGTAATCGGCGGGTAGGGTTCTAATCCTGACTGAGACAGTTTTTCCTTTCGCTTTTCAGACGGGTATAAATTCATTTCTTCTCCTTTGTACCGACAATGAATACTAGACTCATTAACCTTGGTTGGCGACCAGTCTAGACGTATTACAACATGAAGAATTAAAAACAGGGGAGATGGCAACAGTAAACCATTCCACTATCTTTTCAAAGAACAATAATAATTTATATATATTAAAGAAAAAGGAAGGTGATCACCTAAGACCTAAACGACACTAAAAAAGAGATTGGAATACACACACATACACACACACACACACACACACACACATACAGAAAGAGAGAGAGAGAACGAAACAGGGAAAGAGAGATAAAGACAGAGACAAAGATACAGAAATAGAGATAGAGAAAATGCTATGTAATACACTATGCTAGCTTTTCTTAGGTAAGTCAATGTTTTCGCAATTAAATTATTACTCAATTGTTTTAATTTTAAATCTATACATAAATGAGAAATGTAGCGTATAAATTTCAGTTTAAATATCCTTTTGTATTGGAAATATTTACAATAAACTATTTGGTGGTGTGAAATTTTATGATACAACCTGAGTGGGGTCTATGATATTGTGAACCTATATACAGGTTGCGATGGGTAAATATTTTGTCGACTGCACAGTATAGTAAGGTCAGTTTCGCACCGTCTGTGAGAAGAGCACTATGACGCAATTCGCTTTGCCAGAAATTTGGAAACAGCAAACTGTACCGCTTAGCATTCGCGTCAGAAGCTCCAAAACAAACATTTCAGAGTTTGGGGGTGTCAATCTGAGGAGAGTGTAGAGGATTAAAAAAAAATTGAATGAGTCTAATGGTGATTACGAATGCATTTGAAGTGATCACTAGTGATGACTACGTTATGCCTCCATTAATCTTCCCACAGGGCCTCAGACTCAAAAAGAACGCCTACATTGAGTGCCTCGAGGAGGTAGTGCTGCCCTGAGTCAAGAGGGTGGCTGCTAGAATACCCTAGGTCGAACAACAGGACTCTGAACCTTGCTACACAAACAGGAGAGCTTAGTTATAGCTGTCAAACGATTTGTGTGAGCACATCACCCCTTACATCTGAACACTTATCTCCTCAGACTGACCCCAACTGTTATTATGTGTGAGGCACAGTTGAGCAAGAAACCAACAAAACTCGTTGTAATACCAAAGATGAACTGAAGGTAAAGATTATGGCGGAATTCACCATCTTAAGCAAGGAGACTGTCCAGAACAGACGCTGGAAATTCCAAAGTCGTCTGGAGGCTGGGATTAAAACCAATGGCGTTTTTATTGAATGAATTTACTCTTTCGTATTTCAAGACATTTTTTGTGTAATTTTGGTAAATATATCTGTTAAAATGAGATGTCAGTGTTATTATCAGTTTTGCGTAATTGAGATGACAATTTTGTCCATTGCACTATCTATCTATCTATCTATCTATCTATCTATCTATCTATCTATCTATCTATCTATCAATTCCAGTCTTTATCTCTCCCCACCTTCTCTCTCTCTCTCTCTCTCTCTCTCTCTCTCTCATTCTCCTCTCTTTCTGATCGTAATTGACAATCACAACAGCAAGTGCCAAGACATTGTACATATTACCTGTCGGCCACACGGACACTTCTAAATTCATTTTTGCGTAATTATAACAACAATTTAAATATTTTATATATATATATATATATATATATATATATATATATATATATATATATATATATATATATATATATAACGATTCGACATTCATTTGAGAAGACTCTTTCTGCTCAAAATTTGAAACGTATATTGATTTTTTAAATGTTTTCTCTATTCCTTATTTAATCTTACATTGAAGCCCATCATATGAGGCACGTCGCTTCTAGCTACGCCTGATAGTTCTTCAAGTCAAAGTCACAAATCCGGATTAGTTTTAATCGATGATTGAGTACAATTGATTAATCTAAAGCCTCTTCTCTTATTCCGACTTATTCGTTAAGTTTAAAATGACTACCTCAGATTAGATTTACGCTTTTTAATTAAATTAATTTTTTTTTTCATGTCCACTTTTCTAATGTGATACACTGTTTGCAACTGAACAAAATGAAGAGTAATTCTTGGTGATCTTCGGAGAATAATCATTAAAAAATAAAAAAACAAAACCAGGATGTCCAAGAAAAGGCGAAAGTGCTTAATATCGTAGTAGAAATGTAAAATGAAAATTAAGTGAATGAGGCCGTAAGGCCAGGGACCAATTGTTCTTGTTATTCTCATGATAAAGATGATAAATTATTCTAGTAGAAACGATAGAAAAAGCACCAACGATTTCTAATCCGACAAAAGAAACAAAAAGATATATATGATAATTGCCACTTTCTAAATAGAAGAATGCCATCACTTCTTTGTAGAAGAAAGCCATCTCTTCAACATAGAGGTGAGAGGCCGTAGGCCCGCAGATATCTTTTCAAACCAGCCTTGTTACTGCATACTATCTATTTAATAAATGCGAATATCACTGTGTCACACGTTTTCAATTAAAGGTACACAACTCTCTAAATTTTAATAGCTCATCTTCTTCTATATAATAATTGCGAATTTTAGTGTGTCACTGTGTCACATTTTTTCAACTTTACTCCTAGAGGCCGTAGTCCAACATATTATACCATATTGTAATAAAGTCGAATCCGTGAGAAAATTTAAAACATTCCTAGTCGGATCCGGACCCGCAAACCTGAAATTTTGGATTCCCAAATTTTCATAATTGCGATTGTTTTCGGCGATTTTTGTACGGAATCTTTTGCGACGAATTTTTTTTGTACGATAACAATTTTATAACTCTGAAATGAAGTTGGGAATAATCGAAATTAATTGCAAAATCCAGTGAAAGTCATCTAGGAAATAAAAATAATTGTTTATAGGGTAAGTAAGGACCTACGTACATCAAATTGCTTTTAAATTAAGTGGCGGCCGAAGAATTATCGTTGAACTTTTAAAAAGTAAACTTAAATATTAATGCAATACATAAATGCAGCGATCAATTTTGAGTTCTTCTTTAGTTTATCGTTGCCTATCGCATCTATTCCTCCCTACCTATTGTGATGAAGGCCCAATCAAGACTCTCCACAAGAACCAGCTTAAATGCCATCATTAAGCTAGATTTATATATGTGACACACGAAAGACTTGCAGTATTTTGAAAGTGACTTTCATCTTGTCATCTTTCATGTGCCGCGTCAGCCAGGTGTAATTTAAATTTGAAAAATTGCGTAAGTACCTTGCAGGCATGACAAAAAAGAACATTCATAAACGTTATCTATCTAACATAATGTTATGTTGAAACACACCTATTCTATAGTTAATAGACTCTTCCACCTAATATAAGTAGTAGTAGTAATAGAAACGAGGGTCAGTCGATGTCAGTCGATGACGGACGACAGTTAATCGCATACGAAAGTAATCAGCGACCACAACAAGATTACTCTGCGTAATGCCTATTATATCACGTTCCTAACGATTTGTAAGTCGAACCGATTTAGTACAAATACAAGCCTCTACTGCTAAAATACTCCACAACACATATCTTGATAAGTTGCACTTACATCTTTTTCTTAGAGCCTAACTCAATAAGCCTCTATTTTGAGTGGCTCTTGTGTCTTGTACTGAGTGAAGATTTTGTAAAAAAAGAAAAAAAAGAATTAAAAGGTTGTCTCAAACAAGATCTTTACTCGGTTAAAGTTCAATAAACAGCTGCATGACGCAATTTTTAGTTCATCCAATTTTGCAAGAGTGTTGCAGAACATTTCAACATTTTTAAAAAAACAAAAAATGACATTTTCTTTTAAATTATGTATTTCTGAATAGTTCAATACGTCTAATTCTAACGTTTCAAAATCCTAGGATAACTTTTTGAAATTTTTAAACAGAAGGTATGGTTTAAGTGGATACCATTTTTTATATTTCCCTAATCATTACTCGTAAAAAATATAATCGACTAATATGAAAATCTATGAGATGTGGATTTTAAGAAAGGAACTAAAAAAATAATGGACTTATTTGAAAATCTATGAGATGTGGAATTTAAGAAGGAAACTAAAAAAATAATGGACTTATTTGAAAATCTATGAGATGTGGATTTTAAGAAGGGAACTAAAAAAATAATGGAGTTATTTGAAAATATATGAGATGTGGATTTTAAGAAGGAAACTAAAAAAATAATGGACTTATGAGAAAATCTATGAGATGTGGATTTTAAGAAGGAAACTAAAAAAAATAATGGAATTATTTGAAAATCTATGAGATGTGGATTTTAAGAAGGAAACTAAAAAAATAATGGAGTTATTTGAAAATATATGAGATGTGGATTTTAAGAAGGAAACTAAAAAAATAATGGACTTATGTGAAAATCTATGAGATGTGGATTTTAAGAAGGAAACTAAAAAAAATAATGGACTTATTTGAAAATCTATAAGATGTGGAATTTAAGAAGGAAACTAAAAAAATAATGGACTTATTTGAAAATATATGAGATGTGGATTTTAAGAAGGAAACTAAAAAAATAATGGAGTTATTTGAAAATCTATGAGATGTGATTTTTAAGAAGGAAACTATATAATATATGAATAAAGACAAAAGGAAAATTTATCTTAAATGACACGTTTCCTCCTCTGAGTGACTTTATCAAGGCAAATATAAGGATTTTATTGTGTGACAGATATTAATATAAAGGAGTAAAATATTAAATATTATTGTTTTTCAATATTATTGTTTTTTTTTTTTCTTTGGTTTAGGTGTGCTCATGAATATTCATCAGGTTAGCAGATGTCAGCAGCAATGAATATTCATGAGCACTCCTATACCAAAAATTTTGAAAAACAAAAAACTTTTTGCTCTTGTAAATAAATACTTGTTACCAAATAAAATCCCTACACCTGCCTTGATAAAAATTCACGTCATATTCTTTTTAGCTATTTTTATGAGAAAAAAGAAAAGACATTTGTTTATATTGTGAAAATTTTGTGGCGTGGGTATTTTAGTTGGATCCCTGTGAATATGCGGTATTGTGGTATATGCTGGTTTGAATGGTGATGTACGATTTCTTGTGGTGATTTAGTAAATTATAATAGATGAATGGCTGACGAATTAGATTAACTAAGTATAGGATAGTCAGTGACGACCAGCCTTATCCACTTCCTCTACGGCCTTGTGCCAAAATCATTTCTCTGAGGCGATAAATATACAGTTTCGAATCAGACTTTGTTGATTGTTGGCGTTTTGTCTACAAATGAACGCTTTAAAGATGGAGGATAAAATGTTACACTTTTGCCATATTATGCTCTATGATTTTCGGAAAGGAGTAACTGCTGAAACTGTGAAAAAAGTAAGAAACAAAAAACATTCAGGAGGTTTATTTGAATCGCTCGTGGTTTCGCAGATTTCGGCAGGGTTATTTTAACCCAAACGATCAAATACGCACCGAGTAAACTTATGACGTCGAAGAAGACGCTTTTTTAACCATTGTGGGGAATAAACCGAATATTTCGATGGATGGGATTGCTAAGAATCGATTTAAAAAATCGATATTCCAGATCCCTTTCGCCATTTGAAAAGACTCGGGTTCAAGAAAAACGGCCGATTTTGCTAAATCTAAAAGGTTTCATTTTCCGTTATGACATCACAAGACTACATGTTGCAAAAGAGAACTTACAGAATCTTAAAGCGTTGAAATTGGAATCCATCCAACACCCACCGTATTCTCCTGTCTTGGCTCATTCGGATTTTCATTTGTTTCAACTTAAACCACAAAATATTTGACTCTGTACAACCAGTCGAAAACTACATCACAACATTCTCCCTACTTTCGTCCAAAACACGAAGTTTCTACAAAAATGCCATCAACGAGCTTGTAGAACGATGGGAGAGAGTTGTTTAAAAAATGGAAACTATGTACTTGACGAATAGATCTTAGCGCAATGGTGAGGTGCTCTCCTGGAATTGAAATCTCGAGGGACCAAGATTCCTTCATTTATGTTATGTCTCATCCAAGACATGACTGATCCAAGCCAAAAGGCCCGGAAGTTATATTTTAAGTAATGATGATGATACTTAATAACAATATAAGTTATCGTACTGGGATCAGAACTGATAAGAAATTATAAAAAAAGAAGAGTCGAGGGTTGTATATTCTCCCGACTCATTCGCAGTACAGGTTACAAGAACTGGGCAATTTTGTCGTTGCCCATATGTATGCATGTGAGAGACTCAATTTAATGTTAACTGATCGTATGTTAACAATTTACCTCTTTTTTCCAATGCATTTAGCTCCTGTAAATAAGCACCAGACTCCTTCTATTGTGAATTCTCCGAAAAAAGAACAAGTTCTAGCTCCAAAAGGAGCTAAATAAGTAACTGTGCAAACGACATGTGTGTTGCACACATTTTAACAATGGCATCCACGTCTGCTTCGAAAATTAGTCTTTGCTCAAAATGCTACAATACGATAAAGTTCCCACTCTCAAACCGAAGCTACTTCTCCATCTTTAAGACATCAACAATATATTAATGTCTTGTCGAAAGATGTTAATTAAAAATAAAAAAGTGACA